GAGATTGGGTTGTGTCCAATGCTTGTCCTTCTCAGACTAGATACATTGGAATTAATGACTTGACTAACATGTGTCCACTAATTTCAGTGGGTCTACTCTTGAGTAGCATTTTGTTAGCCACAACCTTCTATCTCTGGCAACCCACAGTGGCCAAAAGGATGTGATTGATTTTAATAGTTTTTGGAATGCTTTTTATTGCTTTTAGAAGGTTTTTTTAAAATAATGCTACAGATACGTTTGTCACCCTGGGCTCCTTTCGGAGAAAGGGCAGAGTATAAATCAAACAAATAAATAATATCTGTATAGCCACATGTTGCAGAAGGCAGACCGAGAAACCCCATTTATAGGCACAGATTTCTGAGAGATCCCTGTTTCACCAGGAGGTTGATTTTGGGCAGAAATCTCTCTGTCTAGGCTCACCTATCAGAGTCAACCCAAAGATGAATAAAATGAGCATTTTTCTAAAGAGCTTTTTATTCAGATGAGTGCCATAGGCAACAATGGGGAACGTTGCTTGATTCCGTCCATTCCCGCTCAAATTTTGACAAGAGTCATAAACAGCTCTGCTGTGTACCCAGGACAGGCACATTTCCTGGGTGTGGGGGAAAGGCCAGAGTTTGGAGTGGAGAGCTGATATTTCCCCCTTACACACATCCGGGCAGATCCTTTGTAGGAGTGATGGAAGGGTCAAGCTCTGGGGGTCTCTCTCCAGGGTGCTCCTTCCTCAAGCCAGAGAGGCCATCAGAACTGCCGCATTCCTCTGTTGATATACAACCTCTCTGCGCAAGGCCTGCCCTTTAGCAATCGCGTTTGTCCCTTTGTAGCCAGCTGCTAAGCCAATCAAATATTAATAACAGCCCAGTGTCAAAAGAAAGAAGGGAAGAAAGGAAGCTGGCTCTCTCACTGCCAGGGAAAAAAGAGGTTTGCGAGAATTATGGCGCAGCCTGTCGCTGCGAGGGGGGTTTCCAAAGCCAGCCATTTTGCAACCACACCATCTCCGGAAGTCGTATGTCAGGGATGGGGAAGCTGTGGCCTCCAGGTGGTATTGGGCTCCCATCATCCCCAGCCAGCATGCCCAGTGGTCAGGGAGATGATGGGCGCTCTAGGCCAGCAACAACGGGAGCTGGCCTGTTGTTCTTCAGGCTCTCTTGCAGCCATGGAAATCAGGCTGTCAGGAGGGGAGCCATGGTGTGGAGAGATCCGTCCATCACCCTAAAATACTTTAAGCCTACCTGTGCAAGGGGGATTTAGCCCTTGGGTGTACTCTCATTTCTACCAAGCACATGGGTTCTCAGGAGGAGGCCATCGACAGCTACCAGCCAGCCATGATGGCTATTCTCTGCCTCCACAATTGGAGGCGTTTTGCTTCTGAATACCAGTTGCTGGAAACCACAGGAGGGGAGAGGGATCTGGTGTTCCAGTCCTGCCTTCAGTGGTTCACCACTGTGAGAACAGGATTCTGGACTAGGTGGGCGATTGGCCTGATCCAAGAGGCCCTTCTTATGGGTTTCTGTGGAAGCTCATGAGGTCCCCTCAAGAGAGAAGATCAGCACTGACCTGGAGGGCCACAGGAGGGTGTTGAATTTGTTCAGCGCTGTCCTCTTACCCTGCAAAGGGTCGCCTGGCTTTGTCTTCCCCAGCCCAGGATAACTCCGAAATGTTTCTGGACTCCCAATTCCCATCATCCGTGGCTCCTGCCTGCCTGGTTTGGGCTGATGGGAGTTGGGAGTCCAGCAATTTCTGGGAGGAAACTAAGCTGGCAAAGGCAGGCCTAGCCCATGTGAACAGAGAGCACACTCCTACAATGGGATCCGCTGCCCCGCAGCAGAACCGTTTGTGCGGAAGGAATTCTGTGGGAATGGGTAGAAAGGGTTGCCCGAAGCCAATGCCCATGTTAAGAAGAAAAGGCCTTGGAACAGGACGAGTTCCCAATTTGAGCAAATATCTCATAAACAGCAGTATTTGCGCCTGGCCCTCTCCTCCCCCTCCCCACCTTTATGTCCATAATTGGCATGGACAAAATTCAGTTAGTTGTTTATACCAATGGACATTTTTCATGCTTTAGCACAAAGAGCCCCATTGCAAATTATTCATGAGGAGTTTTTTGTTTAATTTTGCCTTTTAACACCACGGCCGGGTCTGTCTTCTTTCAAGGTGTCACTGTGGAAAGAAGCCCATGTTCTATCGGGAATCGCTTCGGATCTCTCTCTCTCTCTCTCTCTCTCTCTCTCTCTCTCTCTCTCTCTCTCCCCCCTCCGCCCCCTACTTTTTCCCCCCTGGGTGTTTTCCAGATGTTTTGTTATTACCTCTTTGAATCAACCCAAGCTGAACCGAACCAGGAGTATGGGGCTGGTGTGGGGGTGGGAGACAGGAAGGGTGTTTTGATTTGCTTCATTTCTGAGATGGTGCAGGCGTTGGCACATGACACACAGAAGGTGGTGGGGAGGGCGAAAGCGCTCTTGGCGGGCACAGTGGCATTGTCAGATTCCACTGGAATTTTACTCAATATGGCAAATTAGCTCACTTTGCTCAGGAACAGCTGAGGGAGGAGGTAGGGTTTCAGCATTGCATTCCCAACACACACACATCACGCCTGTGAGTTTATAGCAAAGGGTGTTCGTTCCCCGTGGCCAACTTGATAGGGTAGCCAAGTCTCCTGCGCTGGTCATTCACTGGCCATTCTCACAGTGGCTAACCAGACGCCCCAAGGGGAAGGCCACAGGCAGCGTTTGAGTGCAGCAACAACTCTTGCAATTTCCAACAGCTGGGATTTAGAGGCATACTGCCTCCTGCACAACTATCACATGTGCCTGTCTCTGTTACATATTGCTGTTACGTTAAGCGGCTGGCAAGCTGGCTCACCTTGGACTGTGGAAGTAGACCCACTTGCTGGAAGCTGACCAGGTTGATCCAGCAGCTGCCAGCCTGACCTTCCAACTCCTCTACCTTTAGTGGGATAGGCCATAATTTTAGGACTGTTTCCTCCTCTTCCCCACTTGCTATTTTGGGAGAGGGACCCTGCAGCTAGAGCACGTCCTTTGCAGGAAGACGGCCCCAGGTTCCATCCCAGTCATCTCCAGTTAAAAAGATTGCAGGTGATACAGAAGACCTCACTCTGCCTGAGACCCTGGAGAGCTGCTGCCAGTCAGAGTAGGGAATACTGGCCTAGGCTGGTAAATAGCCTGGCACAATATAAGGCAGCTTCTCATGTCCTACTCTCTGTCATCCCCATGCCCTAAGTAAGTGTAGCTGGAGCAAATATCTGCCCCTTTTGCTTTGCTGCCAGGCAGGAAAGTTTCAGAAGTCATGGTATTTCTCCCAGGTGGAGATGCTCCTGTCCTTTATAAACTCTCTGCTCTCTCCTCAGCAACGTCTCTCAGGTGAGCTTATATGTCACTCTTTCTTTCATTTACCCAACCTTCACCCCGCCTCCTGATTGTTCCTTTGCACCAGGTGGGCTGTAACAAAGTCTATACCAGCACTTCCGACGTAATGACCCATGAGAACTTCCACAAGAAGAACACCCAGCTCATCAATGATGGATTCCAGCGGTTTCGGGCCACGGAGGACTGTGGCACGGTGGACTGCCAGTTCTACGGGCAGAAGACCACTCACTTCCATTGCAGGTGGGCTCTCTGCAAAAGGGGGAAAGAGTTCAGGTAACCCCGGGGGCATCACTCTGCTCTAGCCTGGTGCCCTTCAGGGCTACATGTTGAGCTACAGTTGCCATCATCCCTGACAGTTGGTCATGCTGACCAACGATGATGGCAGCTCTTGTTTACAACACAACCAAGAAGAAGAAGAAGAGTTTGGATTTGATATCCCGCCTTTCACTCCCGTTAAGGAGTCTCAGAGCGGCTAACATTCTCCTTTCCCTTCCTCCCCCACAACAAACACTCTGTGAGGTGAGTGGGGCTGAGAGACTTCAAAGAAGTGTGACTGGCCCAAGGTCACCCAGCAGCTGCATGTGGAGGAGCGGAGACTCAAACCCGGTTCCCCAGATTACGAGACTACCGCTCTTAACCACTACACCACACTGGTTCTCAAGAACCTAAAGGACATGCTGGTCCAAAGAAAGACAGGTCTTACAGATCCTGCCCCATTAAAAGAGGCCACAACTACTTGAAACCCTTCAAGTTGAGGGCCAAAAGCTTGGGTAAAGAGGAAAGTTTCTGCCTGGTGCCTAAAATTAGATGAAAAAGGTGCTTCCCTGTAAAAAGCATTCCACAAGTGGGAAGTCACCACTGAAAAGGACCATTCTCATGTTGCCACCTCTCTAGGCCTTCCTCAGAGGACACACAGAGAAGAGCCTTAGATGACAGTTGCAGGGTCCAAGTCAGTTCATGTGGAGAAAAGCAGTTGTTGAGGTACTTGGGTCCTGAGCCGCATATGGCTTGATAGGTCAAAACCAACACTTTGAATTGAGCCCAGAGTCTAACAACAACTGGACTGAATTGAGTTGGAGTCGAACAACATCTGGAGGGCCACTGGTTCTTCATTCCTGATGTACACCACTTGAGGATGACCCATGGAGTAATATGAATATTCTTAGCTATGGCAGCTCATTCACAAACACAGCTTGTGGGTTGTCTCCAGCTAAGTCCTGCCCAGAGAAGACCCACTGAAATCAATAGAGTTCAGTTGGTCCTGTCCATTAACTTCAGTGGGTCTACTCTGAGTAGGACTAGCATTGGCTACAATCTAACCATTTCATTCTCCTGTCCCCAAGTGACAGAAATGTACATGTGGATTTCTCTGAGATTTTTGCTAGGACTCTGAAATTAAAAAATAAATAAATCTAGGCATAAAGTACTGGAGACAGGAACATTTTGCAAAAATATTAATTCATGTAAAAAATCATATACCAGAAAGTGAGAGAACAAAGGAAAAGCCAAGAATGAAAAGATGGTGGCGGGGAGGTGGATCCAGTTACAAATCAGGAATCTCTCTTATACCAAGGCTTAGTTCAGACCTCCTTGTATTTGAGGCATATCACTTGAACCTGAAGGGTAGCTCCAAGGCAGAGCATCTGCTTTGCATGCAGAAAGACCTGGTTCCAATCCCCAGAAGCATCTTTAGGTAGGGCTGGGAATGTCTCTCGTCTGAAACCCTGGAGTGCCGCTACCTCTCTGCGCTGACAGTACTGATCTCACTGGTCTGATTCAGTATAAAGCATCTTCCCATGTTCTTGTGAAAGCAATGGTGAGCATTGCTCCTTAACCCTGGTTGCTATCTGCATAGTTTGGCACAGTGGTTTCCAAAATGAAGCCAAGATCTGGGGTAGCGGGTGGAGATCGAACTGCTCTACGTAGCACTTCTGCTCAGATATACAAATGCCTGCCCTATTCTATGCCTGATTCCCCTGTCGCACCTCACAGGCGTCCTGGTTGCACTTTCACCTTCAAGAACAAGTGCGACATCGAGAAGCACAAGAGCTACCACATCAAGGATGACGCCTATGCCAAGGACGGCTTCAAGAAGTTCTACAAGTACGAGGAGTGCAAGTACGAAGGCTGCGTCTACAGCAAGGCCACCAACCACTTCCACTGCATCCGACCCGGCTGCGGCTTCACCTTCACCTCCACCAGCCAGATGACCTCCCACAAGCGCAAGCACGAGCGCCGCCACATTCGCAGCTCGGGCGTGCTGGGCCTGCCCGCCTCCCTCCTGGGGGCCAAGGACAACGAGCAGGAGGAGTCCAGCAACGACGACCTCATTGACTTCTCCGCCATGAGCTCTAAGAACTCCAGCCTGAGTGCCTCCCCCACCAGTCAGCAGTCTTCCGTCTCCCTGATCGTCCCGGGAGCGCCCTCCTCGGCAGCAGAGCTCTCGGCCTCGCAGGCCTCCAGCAAACCCAACAACATGCCGACGGCTTCCAAGATCCCTGGCCTACTCTCCCAGGCCCTCCCGAGCAATATCCCTTTGGCCCTGGCACTCTCCAACGCAGCACTTCCCGGAACGGCGGGCTCTTACTTCCCTATCCTCCCCAGCCGGGTTGCCACCCCGCTGCCCGCCGGCTCCGCCAGCTTGATAGCCGCCAGTGCTTCCGGTAACAACCCAGCGCCGTCTGCCAGCTCCCCTTCCCAGGCCATCTCAGGTTCCAGCGAGGCAGCGGCCACCTCTTCCCCAACTCCGGCAGCATCCATCATGGAGAGGATCTCCGCCAGCAAAGGCCTGATTTCGCCAATGATGGCCAGGCTGGCTGCTGCAGCACTTAAGCCCTCGGTGGCTGTGGAGGCAGGTGAGTCTGTTGGCCCTCCTGGTTGAATGAGGGGGGTTATTGGTCCAGTCGGGATTTGGAAATCTCACACACATGGGAAAAGAAGGGACTCAGGTTGCTCCATCACACTGGAGAAGGTGGGGAGCCTTTTTATTGTCAAAGATAACACAGCCGCTTCTACAGCTCAGGAGACCTAGCGTCTAGGCAGCTATTCCCAGGTCCGTGCACTATGGAACAGTTGCAGCAACTGGGGACCACTCTCCCTCCACTAGTTTATGTACCTTCGTCCGATGGGCTGCACGCATGCAGCTAGAGACTATGTCTGCATGGAAGCTGCCTCTGATCATCCGTCTTCAATCCCCTCCTGGTTCTGGAAGCCAGTGGTCCAGGGGAGAGTTGAGAAGCACCTGGCCCTTCACTTGCCTGACCGGCCTCTTTTTCCCTCTCTGAAGCTTCCCCTGCCTCTGATTCTTGCTTCCTGGCTGGTACAGGTTCCCACAGAGCACTGCCCCCTCTCTCGAGTCAGGCTGCAGCCCCCTTCCCCCAATGCACACTCGTCAGCGTTCTGCCAGTCCCTGACACTTAAACACAAATATAGTTTGAGGCTTCTTCTTGAGATGTGCTAGTGAAGGGGGCCCAAAACCTGTTTTGAACCTTGGTTCAAGGGAACAGGGAGGGAGATAACTTTTTGTTCTGTTACCTGTTTTCCAGATCAGCTGCCCAGATAGAAAGCAGGTTTGGTTTTGAAACACACATGGTGACTTTCCCAATCTGCTGCTGTCCCAGCCTCAAAGCCCAGCTGCAGAGTTCCACCTTTTTAGTGGTTCATTACGGACCTGTGAAGGGGAGAGATACAGCTGTAACACAAAGCCTATTTGCAAAATAAATGGGTGGAGACCCAGTCATTCTTTGATGGTGGAACCATTTGATGGTGGAATGCCAATCTGAGCTGACTGCACCATCATGGCTGACCTGTTCTAGGTCTTTGGGAGAAGCACATTGTGACTTGTCAGGGAGGTTTTGGAGGCAAACAGGGAGGGTTATATCTTTTCTGGGCAAGACAATGACTTGCCCAAACTGCCCCAGCTGACTCTTTGGCTCGGCCCCCTTCTATTCCCGCACATCAGCATGAACCCTTGATCGTTGCCAGCTCCTTGTAAGCATCTATTTCAGCCAACAGTTTCCTCTGTCCTCTCCTGCCATCCTTCTCTGGGGTAGTGGGGAGGAGAGGAGATGTTTACCCAGATTAGTTTCCCATTGATCCCTCTTTGGAACGGCAGCTGCCTCGGATGCTTTGACTTCCTGGATCTGAAGGAACAAGCAGCTCTCCTTCAGCCATCTCGGGACTCCTTGAGAAGCAGCAGCCCAATCACTTCACAGCCAGATTACGGGCTTTTACTGTGACTAATGGAGCCTTTTGCAGTGCTAGCCAAAGATGCATAGCTGGCCTGTTGCAGCTGTAGCCGGGGAAGCTTGGGTATCACGGGCCTGTTTTTAAGCCTGCTGCAAATGTGCACGAGCCCAAACAGAGGGAATCAGACTTTCCTGGTCATACGGAAAGTTAGATTGCTGTTGCATTCTTCATCAAGATGACTTCTTTCCAGAGAGTGGAGAGAGACAGAGACAGGCAGAAATGGGGAAGGCTTTTCCAGCAGTAGACTAATAGACGAGTTTCTATTCACACTCCATCTGTATTTGAAATATGCACTCTGGCTTTGCTTTCGGGTTTCCCATTGGGACACCTGGTGGGCGACTGTGAGGCCAAAATGTTGGGCCACATGGAAAGGTTAGGTGGAGGCCTGCAAGGGCCAGTCCTCCTGTTGGGGAGGAGGAGGAGGAGGCTGCCTCAGGCAGCACATGCCTGGGAGCCAGGAGTGGGGAGGGAGAGCACATAGCAAGGTGATGAAAGACAGAGCTATATGTGCCACATGGCCTGTTCTGTCCCCTTAAGCTGGCCTGCCACTCTCAGGTGTGGTGAAAGACGCTGTTCTATCACCATTGTTGAAGTCAGATTCAACTTGTCAGCTGGGGAGGAAGGAGATGCCGTTTTGTCCTTCTCGGGCACCAAAAGCCAGTGCTGTGCATAAAGTTGTCAGAAACCTTTTTTTTTCTTCTTAATCATTTATTTTTCCTGAAAGAGAGAGGTCATTGCGGGAACTATTTTTCCTCTTTTAAAAAAATAAAATGCCACTTGCTGTCTCTGAAGCAGTTCACCGTCAGCTGTAGTGCCTCCGGGTAGATTAATATTTTAGTCACTTGGGGATTGTGGATGAAAGCCCGGCGGACATCTTCCTGTCAGCAGTTTCCCCCCCTGCCATCTTTTAATCCTTTTCTCTGCGTCTGCCTCATTCTTTTTTTATTTATTTAATGTGTTTTCGTAACTTTATGGGACGTTTGCCCCTACTTTTTTCTTTTTCTTTTGAGGCAATTTCATTACATATATTTTTTATAAATTATATTTTTTCCAACGTAGTTTGGGGCAAGGAGTAGAGACCCAAAGGCCAGGCGGTGGCACTCTCTGGCCGGGACAAGGCAAGATGGCGGAAGAGGTCGCGCAGTTTGAACCAATCTGATTGGCTGTCAGTTTCGATAGACCTGACACCGCAGACGTTCCTTTTGGGCATGCTCAGTGAGGAGGCCGGAGTGCGGTCGCCAAGGCAACGTTGAGATTGGGGAATGGGAAGGGGGCTTGACTAGCAGTCTCAAGCTGCCACATTGCCTCAGCATTAACAGAGTCTTTAATAAACGCTTAAGAGGCAGCCCCGCAAATTAGTTATGACAGTTTGCGCAGAGCATCAGATCTCCCCCTCGCTCCTGCCGCCCTCCTCCTTTAAAGGGCCCGTAGCCTGGACAACTTTGACATAATTTTGCAATAATTATCACTTGGAAGAATTTCCGCGCCGGGGTGGACGTCAGAACCGATCACGTCAACCCGGCAATAAATGCTGACCAGCAGACTCAGGCCATTCCTTTTCTCTCCAACCTTACTGTTGCCGTTGTTGGGTTTTTTAAACTTTCTTGTGCATTATTTGATATTGTTTGATCGTTATTGTCAGTTGGCTTCCTTTTATTTACTTATTTAAAACTTTATGGGTTTTCCTCCCCGCCTCCCTCCCTCCTCCCCTTCCTTCTCTCTAAAACGCAGGGAATGGACAACCAACCACTCCTGGACGGTTTAACCCAGCTCAGATTAAGCAAGAGGCTACAGAGAATCCAGGCTCCGTGTCCACCGTGACCCAGGATTCCTTGCAAGAGCACAGCTTGGACCTGAGTGTGAAGGATCATGGGTAAGAGAGGGAGGCTCTGCAGCGACAGATTTGGGTGATGAGGAAGAAGAACATGGCAATGTCCTAAAAGCTTGAGCGTGGGTGGGGAAGAGGGCATCATCAGAAGCCTCTCAGTCTGACTAGAGTGGTTAAGATAAACGTGGCCAGGCCTACTGCTGGGAAGAAGTTAATTGGAGACGGCAGTCTGTGCACCAGGCCCGTTTGTTCAGCTTTTCAGTAGCCCCCAGCCTGGCTCACCTACCCTTAAACTCCACCTCACCCTTTTTAGCTGTGTGAGTGAATCCATCAGAGTTTTGCCTGGGTTGCGGGGCAACCAGCTCCCTCTGCTCCCATGAGCTTTCTTTAAGGCACTGTTTGCCAACCTGGTGCCCTCTCTTGTGCTTTGGACCACAACTCCGATCAGCTGTGCCAACTGATGGGAGTTGTCACCCAAAACACTTGGAAGGTGGCAGGTTGGCCTAGTTGGCATCCAGACACCCTTCATTCATTTCCTTGGAGTGCTGTTATAACTCAGAACCAGGACGGGGTTGAGCGGTGAAGAGCAGGACAACTTGGCTGTTGGACGTAAGAACTGT